AGGTCTACAATTTTATCCCTGATGTCCTTACACAGCTCTCTGGTCTTGGCCATTGTGGAGAGGTTGGAGTCTGTTTGATTGAGTGTGTGGACAGGTGTCTTTTATACAGGTAACGAGTTCAAACATGTGCAGTTAATACAGGTAATGAGTGGAGAACAGGAGGGCTTCTTAAAGAAAAACTAACAGGTCTGTGAGAGCCGGAATTCTTACTGGTTGGTAGGTGATCAAATACTTATGTCATGCAATAAAATGCAAATTAATTACTTAAAAATCATATAATGTGATTTTCTGGATTTTTGTTTTAGATTCTGTCTCTCACAGTTGAAGTGTACCTATGATACAAATTACAGACCTCTACATGCTTTGTAAGTAGGAAAACCTGCAAAATCGGCAGTGTATCAAATACTTGTTCTCCCCACTGTATGTTTTATGGCTTTTTAACCTCTGCTATATTGTGGATTCAGAGATATCTATCTAATATAACACAGAGGGTTTTCTGTAATTGAAGCTTTTCTAATGTTAAACAACATGGAAATTGTGGTGTATCGCAAGGCAGCTTTATTGGCCTTCTACTATTTTCTATTTTTACTAATGACCTACCACTGGCATTAAACAATGTGTCTCTGTGTCTATGTTTGTTGATGATTCAACCCTGTACGTGTCTGCAACCACAGCTAGTGAAATCACTGCAACCCTAAACAAATAGTTGCAGTCAGTTTAAGAATGGGTGGTCAGTAAGAAACACATCCTGAAAATCTCTAAAACTAAGAGCATTGTATTTTGTACAAATCATTCATCTAAGTTCTAGACCTCAGCTTAATCTGATAATTAATAATGTGGCTGTTGAGCAAGTTGAGGAGACTAAATTACTTGGTATTACCTTGGATTGTAAACTGTCATGGTTAAAACATATTGGTATTTTGGTATTTTTAGGTATTTTATTAGGATCCCTATTAGCTGTTGCAAAATCAGCTGCTACTCTTCCTGGGGTCCACACAAAACATGAAACATGACATAATACAGAACATTAATAGACAAGAACAGCTCAAGGACAGAACTACATCAAAAAAATAAAATAAAAGCCTACATATCAATACCAATACAGACACACAAATTATCTAGGTCAAATAGGGGACAGGCGTTGTGCCGTGAGGTGAAGCTTTATCTATTTTTTGAAACCAGGTTTTCGGTTCATTTGAGCAATATGAGATGGAACGGAGTTCCATGCAGTAATGGCTCTATATAATATTGTACGCTTTCTTGAATTTGTTCTGGATTTGGGGACTGTGAAAAGACCCCTGGTGGCATGTCTGGTGGGATAAGTGTGTGTGTCAGAGCTGTGTGTAAGTTGACTATGCAAACAATTTGGGATTTTCAACACAATGTTTCTTATAAAAAGAAAAAGTGATGCAGTCAGTCTCTCCTCAACTCTTAGCCAAGAGAGACTGGCACCCAAATCCAAAAACAAATTCAAGAAAACCTACAGTATTATATAAAGCCATGATTGCATGGAACTCCCTTCCATCTCCGATTACTCAAGTGAACAGCAAAACTAGTTTAGAAAAAAAGATGAAGCAACACCTCAAGGCACAACACCTCTCCCCTATTTGACCTAGATATTTTGTGTGTATGTACTGATATGTAGGCTATGTGTGACGTTTTACATTTAAGTTGTTCTGTCCTTGAGCTGTTCTTGTCTGTTAATGTTCTGTATTATGTCATGTTTCATGTTTTGTGTGAACCCCAGGAAGAGTAGCAGCTGATTTTGCAACAGCTAATAGGGATCCTAATAACAAAATACAAAAATTATCATGTCTCTCTCTTGTCCCTCTGCAGCAGACATGTGGTGAGCAATATGTTTAGAACATAGAATCGCAATAAAATCACAGTATCGAATCGCAATACATATAGAATTGTGAGAATCGCAATACATATCGTATCGGCACCAAAGATCCCTGGCAATTCCCAGCTCTGCTATGAATTGTGACTGTAAATTCCTGATGTCTACCCCCCCTCCATCTCTCTCTCTCTCTCTCTCTCTCTCTCTCTCTCTCTATTGCGCTCTCTCTATTGCAATCTCTCTGTAAGTCATTACTGTAGATTTTGTCAAACAGTCAGACAAATAATATGTTCCGGTACAGACTAGCTTGACCTTCTATGAGAATACAATCTGCAGCTCTGCCTGCTGCAATCTGTTGCAATTTGCTAGTCTGTATTTGACATTGTCTGTGGGTGCAGTTCTATGAAAAATGTGCCAGTGGGACAACAGGCTTATTATCTCATAGCTGAATCACAATAAAGAGATGATCCTCTATGCAGATTGAAATTCAGTATCTATGCAAATTTGTACAGTAAATGCATTTGATCAAGCTACTCTATGTACCCTATTGATTCCTTCTTGATGAATAAATAAAACTAAAATGTTTTGTTGTTTCTCTGTAATACTAGCCACCTAGCTAGCCAGCTGGATAGGTTCCCAATCTCCCAACCTCCTAACTAGCTACCAAGGCATTTCAGGCTATCAATCAAGTTAATCAAGTTGTCTAACTATCTTAGCTGGTATGCTTTAATTCTTGGATCATGATACAATATACCAGTGTGGCAGTTGTACTAAACTCCTAAGGCATAAATGTTCTTAAAGAATCAATGTGCATCATTAATTAAAATGACAATTGAACTGGTAAAGAGGTATTACATAAAATTAGGCATTATGATTATGGCTCTAGATTACAGAAAAAAGCTGTTTCAGGTGTTTTACCACCCCCCTCCATCATAACATACTTTGTGTCCCCTCGAAAATAATGGGTACATGATGCCTCTGGGACTCATGCTCACAGAAAACTGTATGTGAGAGGAATCAGGAAACTACAGTGAGGGAAAAAAGGATTTGACCCCCTGCTGATTTTGTACGTTTGCCCACTGACAAAGACATGATCAGTCTATCATTTTAATAGTAGGTTTATTTGAACAGTGAGAGACAGAATAACAACAAAAAAATCCAGAAAAAACGCATGTCAAAAATGTTTTTTTCCCTCACTGTATTTATGGCTGGGTGAGGTAATGTCACGCCCTGGCTCTGGGGACACTTGTATGTTGAGCCAGGGTGTGCATTTATTTTGTTTATTTAGTATGTGTATTTCTATGTTGGCCTGAGTGGCTCCCAATCAGAGGCAACGAGTGTCAGCTGTCATTGGTTGTCTCTGATTGGGAGCCATATTTAAACTGTCTGTTTCCCATTTGTGTTTGTGGGATCTTGTTTCAAGTCTGTTTATGTTAGACCGTGAACTGTCACATATCGTTTGTTGTTTTGATCGTGTCTCTATTAAAGAGTATGTTTGCCTGCAACGCTGCGCCTTGGTCCTCTATGTATGACGATCGTGACAGAAGATCCCACCTCGACTGGATCAAGCAGCGTGACGAGGAGAGAGGATGGACTTGGGAGGAGATGAGTGCAAGTCTGGCAAGAGAGGGATGGAGGCCTTGGCCACGGGTAGGAGTGAAGCCCATAACATTTTTAGGGGGGGGCTAACGCCGTGGACGACGGGGCAGCAGGAGGCCGCCAGGTTACGGGAGTCACTGGTCACCAGGGGGAAGGAGGATGTAGAGGCACGGCGAGAGGTACTGGCGTGTGTTGCCAGTCCGGTCCGGCCTGTTCCTGATCCCCACGTAGGGCCAGTGGTGTGTGTTCCCAGTACGGTCCGGCCTGTTCCTGCCACGCGCACCGAGTCAGTGGTGCGCTTCGTCAGCCCGGCACGGCCCGCTCCTGCTCCCCGCACCAAGTCAGTGGTGCGTTTCGTCAGCCCGGCGCGGCCCGTTCCTGCTCCCCGCACCAAGTCAGTGGTGCGCTTCGTCAGCCCGGTCCGGCCCGCTCCTGCTCCCCGCACCAAGTCAGTGGTGCGTTTCGTCAGCCCGGCGCGGCCCGCTCCTGCTCCCCACACCAAGTCAGTGGTGCGCTTCGTCAGCCCGGCACGGCCCGTTCCTGCTCCCCGCACCAAGTCAGTGGTGCGCTTCGTCAGCCCGGTCCGGCCCGCTCCTGCTCCCCGCACCAAGTCAGTGGTGCGTTTCGTCAGCCCGGCGCGGCCCTCTCCTGCTCCCCACACCAAGCCAGTGGTGTGCGTCGTCAGTCCGGCACGGCCCGTGCCTGTTCCACCGGTGGCTGGTCCGGCACCGGTCAGATGCTTCACGCCAGAGCTAGAGCAATCCGCTCCACCAGTGTGCAGTCCAGCTCCGGCCAGCGGGGCCAGACCGGACCAGGGGTACTTTGGGGGGTTGGAGAGGGAGCGGGGATCAGGCCCGGAGCTGGATCCGCTTCCGAAGCGGAGTGCCCACCCGGTCACTCCCCTGTGGTGTTTGGTGGGCGCGGTCGGAGTCTGCGCCTTTAGGGGGGGGTACTGTCACGCCCTGGCTCTGGGGACACTTGTATGTTGAGCCAGGGTGTGCATTTCTTTTGTTTATTTAGTATGTGTATTTCTATGTTGGCCTGAGTGGCTCCCAATCAGAGGCAACGAGTGTCAGCTGTCGTTGGTTGTCTCTGATTGGGAGCCATATTTAAACTGTCTGTTTCCCGTTTGTGGGATCTTGTTTCAAGTCTGTTTATGTTAGACCGTGAACTGTCACGTATCGTTTGTTGTTTGATCGTGTCTCTATTAAAGAGTATGTTTGCCTGCAACGCTGCGCCTTGGTCCTCTATGTATGACGATCGTGACAGGTAATGTGTTGTTTAAGTCACACTGCTCTTCTCATGAAGCACATACTCTGTTGGCAGTATTTTCTTTTACAAAATTTATTAGGAACAAAAGTAGAAAAAAGAAAACAATTAAATTAAACAAAATACAAAGGTGAAACTATGAATACATTTACATTTTAGTCATTTAGCAGACACTCGTATCCAGAGCGACTTAGTGCATACATTTTCCATACTGGCCCCCCTTGGGAATCGAACCCACAACCCTGGTGTTGCAAGCACCATGCTCTACCAACTGAGCTACAGGAGGCTGTAGAATAATAATAATAAAGCAACATTTGCAAACAAACACTGTAGTTACTGTATAACAAAAATGCCAACAGTTCAGACACAAAATGCTAATTCATAAACAGTATGACATGAACAAGAAACTAATAATTTTACCAATTCACCAATATATAATTAGTCATAGTCAATCATTATAAAACATTTTCAGAAATGTATTGACAGATTGCAAAGTATACTCATTATTAATCTTCAACAAATCAACTAATCCTAATTAGAATATATTTTTATTTATTTTGTAAATGTTATTGTTGTTGGAATAACGTTCTAACGTTTCTATGCTCAGTCCTCACCTTCTAATTAGCTCGGTAGATTCTACCCTGGCAGGCTGCCATTCACTACTGCTCAGTGTCCAAGTCAGTTGGAGCAACATCACTTGGATCTGATTGGTTCTCCCCTTCCATCACAAGACCATTGACCATCCTATAAAACAACAGGAAAATAATAGGCTTTAGTGCATGAGTGGATTATGTGGGGTAGCGGGCCAGATAGCTGAGAAGTGCTAATGTAATAGCACTCACACTCAAACCATTACAAATGCTGTAAAGGAACATATGCTCCTTTTTTTTTTCACCTTTTGTATTATTTCGTGCATGGATTAAATTAAGTATATCTATGCATCTCGGTTTTATCAGATTTTACTTTTTTATAGTTTGAGCGTGAGTACCTTTTAAATATATTTTTTCTGTCACGCACCGGCCACCATTCATTCTAGCCTGAGCGCAAACCTTCATTCTGGCTTTCAAATTTTATAGCACCTCATCATGTTACTGTGAGAAGTGTCACTTCAGTTCTTTGCGGTAAGAATTGTCCACATTCCTTCAGCATTTCCATGATACTTTCTCTCCCTCTGGCCTACTGTCATTTTCATACACTCTCTATCATCAGCACTCTGCTTTGAAGATTGTGTTCCCCGATACTGGACCAATAACAAACTAACTTGTTTGGTTCATGTTTGTAATGCAGACATGGGCATTTACAGTGGCATAACAATTATTTAACCCACATAAACAAAGGTGACGTATATGAAAAACAATCAGATGATCACACACCCACTACCTAGAAAACGGATCCATCAAAATGCCACTGAACTTGTTTCGCTCTAGTTGGTTACGACACCTTTTAAGATCCTCAGACTTCTGTAGTAATTTAAAATAACGTGAAAATTATTGAACAGGGTGCCGTATGCAAGCTGTCTCACATGTTTACTGTTCTACTTGTTTTGATTAACCTCCAAGTTAACGCTCAGGTCACATCTGTTCATCAAAATGGTTAAGGCAACTTAAGGTGTGCATATACAGTACCAGTCAAAAGTTTGGACACACCTACTCATTCCAGGGTTTTTCTTTATTTTTACAATTTCTTACATTGTAGAATAATAGTGAAGAAATCCAAACTATGGAATAACACATAGGGAATCATGTAGTAACCCAAAAAGTGTTAAACAAATCAAAATATATTTCATATTTGAGATTCTTCAAATAGTCACCCTTTGCCTTGATGACAGATTTACACACTCTTGGCATTCTCTCAACCAGCTTCACCTGGAATGCTTTTCCAACAGTCTTGAAGGAGTTCCCACATATGCTGAGCACTTGTTGGCTGCTTTTCCATCACTCTGCGGTCCGACTCATCCCAAACTATCTCAATTTGGTTGAGGTCGGGGGATTGTGGAGGCCAGGTCATCTGATGCAGCACTCCATCACTCTCCTTCTTGGTAAAATAGCCCTTACACAGCCTGGAGGTGTGTTGGGTCATTGTCCTGTTGAAAAACAAATGATAGTCCCACTAAGCCCAAACCAGATGGGACAATGTCACCAGCAAAGCACCCCCACACCATAACACCTCCTCCTCCATGCTTTACGGTGGTAAATACACACGCAGAGATCATCCGTTTACCCACACCACGTCTCACAAAGACACGCCGGTTGGAACCAGAAATCTACAATTTGGACTCCAGACCAAAGGACACATTTCCACCGGTCTAATGTCCTTTGCTCGTGTTTCTTGGCCCAAGCAAGTCTCTTCTTCTTATTGGGGTCCTTTGGTAGTGGTTTCTGTGCAGCAATTCGACCATTAGGGCCTGATTTACACAGCCTCCTCTGAACAGTTGATGTTGAGATGTGTCTGTTACTTGAACTCCGTGAAGCATTTATTTGGGCTGCAATTTCTGAGGCTGGTAACTCTAATGAACTTATCCTCTGCAGCAGAGGTAACTCTGGGTCTTCCATTCCTGTGGCGGTCCTCATGAGAGCCAGTTTCATCATTGATGGTTTTTGCGACTGCACTTGAAGAAATGTTCCGTATTGACTGATCTTCATGTCTTAAAGTAATGATGGATTGTCGTTTATCTTTGCTTATTTGAGCTGTTCTTGTCATAATATGGACTTGGTCTTTTACGAAATAGGACTATCTTCTGTATACCACCCCTACCTTGTAACAACACAACTTATTGGCTCAAACGCATTAAGAAGGAAGAAAATTCCACAAATTAACTTTTAATAAGGCACACCTGTTAATTGAAATGCATTCCAGGTGACTACCTCATGAAGCTGGTTGAGACAATGCCAAGAGTGTGCAAAGCTGTCATCAAGGCAAAGGGTGGCTATTTGAAGAATCTGAAATATAAAATGTATTTTGATTTGTTTAACACTTTGTTGGTTACTACATGATTCCATGTGTTAGTTCATAGTTTTGATGTATTCACTATTATACTACAATGTAGATAATAGTGAAAATAAAGATAAACCCTTGAATGAGTAGGTGTTCTAAAACTTTTGACCGGTAGTGTAGATAATCCTGTTCTAGATTGATATATAGCCCTATATATAGATGTCCTAGCCTACCTCTTTCAGGTAATAAATTCAATGCAGTATTAGCCTTATATTTAGCTAATTAATGATGGGTTATGCATAGTAAGCGTCTAACTTATAGCCTCTGTCTCTTGCGCAATACGCAAATGCCTGTGCTCCGCTGGCCTCTTCTTAAAAAACGCTCCTTAGCTCTTGGAGACACATGCAAGAAAAGCTAGAGTAGAATAGCTTGCTGGACATTCTTTTTTAAAAACATTTCTTATACCAATAGACTATTCGAAGAGGGAGGCAAGCTCTTTTTTACTGAATGTTAAATACAGCAGCCAATAGAAAGAAGAGCGAATACTCGATGGCGGTAGGCTATAGCAGTTATTTATTCAGACCCATAACCATTCAATCTTCGTGAAGAGAAGTGAAAGCCTTCTGCATCCAATTCTAGTCCTATATTATTCAAGGATGTCAATAGAATGGTGAAGATAAGGACAACAAAACTTATTTCATTTAGCTGTTGAATGTGAGGAAGGAATGAAGCAACAATAGAGAGAGAAAGAGGAGGTAGGCTAAAACATTAGGGGAAATATTATGAAAGGTATATATGCGTCAGTCTACTAATTATACAAATAGGCCCTATTATATTTCGAAATTAAAATCAAATTCGCTAGCCTATACTTGTAAATTTGTAGGCTGCACCAGAATCGCATGTTCTATTTTGCTTTATCATTACATTTACATTTTACATGACGCTCTTATCCAGAGCGACTTACAGTTAGTGAATACATATTTTTTTATACTGGCCCCCCGTGGGAATCGAACCCACAACCCTGGCGTTGCAAACGCCATGCTCTATCAACTGAGCTACATCCCTGCCGGCCATTCCCTCCCCTACCCTGGACGAATTGTGCGCCGCCAATGAGTCTCCCGGTCGCGGCCGGCTGCGACAGAGCCTGGATTCGAACCAGGATCTAGTGGCACAGTTAGCACTGCGATGCAGTGCCTTAGACCACTGCGCCACTCAGGAGGCTGATTGTTGGCTGCTTTTCCATCACTCTGCGGTCCGACTCATCCCAAACTTTTATACTGGCCCCCCGTGGTTTGAACGATGTGCGTAATTCCAGTTCATATAATACAGTATAATGCACTACAGTAATACAGTTCACACTAAAAAAGATTAGCCTAATGGAGCAAGTTTCATTTATTTACCCAAGAGAGCATATACATGTAGCTAGCTACATCTATGGGCTTTTATGTTTTTCTGTTGTGCGTAATGTTCAGTAGCCTATATCATATTCAGTATGTATTGGATAATGGCGCAATCATTTGGCCTTTTTTGGGCTTGGGCTCATGAAATGTCGTTAATGTAGGGCTCATAAAATGTATTTAATGTATGGCTCATCAGGCTCAGGTAGCATCAGGTTTGAATTTTCATGCTAATCTAAGCTCTAATCAAATCCAGACATTTTCTATGCTTTATAATGCTTTTGAATGACACTTCCGGAAATACCGGGTTACCTGGGAGAAAAGTGATTTATTCTGGGGATGGAACATTTGTAAAATACCGGGATAATATTCAACCCTAGCGAGCATTGCAAAATAAATGTACACCTACATGTTATTCTATAATTTCATCCAAACTTGGTTCTATTTTAGACGCTTGACGCCGCTGCAAGTCCTGCCTCTCCCATCTCCTCATTGGTTTTTAGGAGCATATACCCACATGGGTGATCGAAAGATGAACGAGGTCCAAACTCCAGTCCAGTTGGTTGCAGTAATGCACCTTAAAGTTGATTGCCAACCACCATATAAAATCCACAGAAGAAGAAGAAGAGAAGAATAGTAGTAACTAACTAGGTTTCCCCTTTTATCTGTGGATTAATTGTCGGAGTAGAGAACCCAAGATTTTGTGTGACTCAAAATGGGACGATATTCTACAAAGATCCAGCAAAAAAAAGGACTTTGTACATTTCAGGTAAAATACCCAATGTTTATATCCAAGGACAAATTACCTAGCAACAACAAGCTAGCTAGCTAAATGTCCATGAATGTTTCATATGTGTTTTGACCTGTTCCCAAATTAATATAGCTGATTCAGAGTTAGTTTTGATATTTCAACCTGTGTGTCCTGATCTTGTCTGGTGGGGATAGACAAACTCAACATGCGCACGATGGTGCACGTGGACGCCCCTCCGGAGCCGGTTTGGTCATCATGTTAGGTACACTAAACTTTTAGCTAGACCCAGGGAGTAAAGGGAGACACTCACCTTTCACTGTTATTGGTGATATTTGGCTCACTTCCTCGTGTCCGGGCCTGTGGTGTGCCTGGGATAAGGAACTCCTCCCGTTGAGTCGTCAGGCTGGGTCTCTGGTCAGACTGGCTGCGCCTACTGACAGTCTGGGACCCTCGTGTGGACACCCTTCCCCGGGAGAGCTCACCATAGGGCCTGGGTAGTGTAGAGCTACAGGAGGGGGTCCAAATCTGGGAGTTCGATTGGCTATTTTGACAGAACACCAATCGGGCATCATTGAAGGACACTGACGGCGACATGCCTTCTTCACCACTGTTCTCCGTGCTCCATCTCAGGACCCGGGGAGAGGATGGACGTGAGGGTGGATTAGGCTGTGCGAAAGCAGGGGGGCTTGGTAGTCTGTGGTGCGTAGAGGGACAAGAGGGTGGTAGGCGAACTCTGGAGACTGATGGGACGGTTGGTGGCATGCTCGTGGGGTAATACTCCCCCTCATAGTGGTTGCTGCTTCTTTGCCTGAGGCTCACCCCAACTCTAAGGGGTCCTCGGACACCCTGATCAGGTCTCGTAGGAGGGGATTCAGCTTCATTGCGCAGGTGGATGATCTTGCAGGCCTGGCGGTAGAGCGAGGAGGCCTGCACAGTCTTTTGGTTGACCTCAGAGGCTGGCTGCTGATCTCCACCCGCCACGGCATCCTGCCTGATTGGTCCGACACTGCCACGGTTGGGCAACAATGTCATGCTCTGCAACGAGGCCCTCAGGCGCTGAGAGGCGGTGCTCCTTTGGTGTGGCACAGGGTGGCCCCTCCTGTCGACGTCCTCCTCTTCCCCGTCCTCATCACCCGGGTTCTCCTCGTTGCTCTCATAGGAGTTGTCCATCAGGACCTCAGGGGGAGGTGGGGGCAGGTTGTCCACATCTAGGTCCTCCCTGCCTTCCACTGGCCAGCTGTTATTATTGTTGTTGGTATTGACAATGTCCTCTCCACTTCCAAGGTCGGGTAAGATGGGAGATTCACTCCTCCTAGACCCCCTAAGGTGTGCACTAGTGAGACTTTGTCCTGGTCTACTGTCCATCCCACCACTGAATGTGTTTATGAGTCTTTTGACAGAGTTGCGGCCAGGGGGTTGTGGTGCTATTGCTGGTAGAGAACTTGGTGCTTGGTTTGCCTTCGCGGACCCTTCGAGTTTAAATCTAGAAACCTTCCTCCCTCCTGAAGAGTGTCTTCTCAGAGTGTCGTCTCCCATCTGCTGGTCCAGGTCTTTCTGTTGCAGCTCCTGAACATGGAAAGATTCTATGGACTGTGAGTGTGGTGGTCTCACCGGCCTGCCCAAGGGGGCAGTGGTCTGGGGTCGTTTGGGTGGCTGCCTCTCACTGCGCTTGGGGGTCTGAATGGGGTCTGGCAAGGAAGAGTTGGACCGCACCCTCCATGACCTCTCTTCCTCTTCATCCTCCTCGTCTTCATCATCATCATCTTCCTCATTTTCTTCCTCATCCTCACCTTTATTAAGGCATACCTGGTCAGGTGAATGGCTTGGGAGTGTGGGGCGGGCACGGCCACTGGACCCAGAGCTCCCCTGTTGGCAACGGTGGCGCTCTGATCCCGTCAGCGACTCGTTCTCTCCCCCAATGCCGCTGTCCTCGCTGTGAAGGGACAAGTCATCAAGGTTGCACTTGGCGGCTGCCTCCACGCGTGCTAGCACCTGGCTCAGACGCTCGTCTACCGCTCGCTTGGCCTGCAGCTTCTCGCCCAGTAGTTTAGATAGCGAGGCAAAGTAGTCTGCCGCCTCTTCCAGAGCAGTGTCTCCCAGGCCTTGGACCGAGCTCCCCACCAGCTTTAACTTTTCAGTGGAATGCTGGAGCAGCTGCTGCAGCAGGTCTGGAGGGGGTTCTGATAGGTCAGCACTGGGCTTGGCAGGGATGGGAGCTGGGGCCCTTGTCTCGGAGGGCCAGGCCATGTGGTTGCTATGCTCTTTCAGCATCAGCTCGCCCTCCTCAGCCATCTCCTCCAGGGCCTGGTTGACCTCCTCGAAGCGCATTACAATGGCTGTCATCATGGGCTGCAGGGAGAGCTGGGTCTGGGCGGCCTGGTCCAGCAGCTCCAGCAGGTTCTCACACTTGAAGATGTTGGGGTTCAGGTATTCGTAGGCAGCCTGGTGAGCTCTCGCCATGTGCATGGGGAGGTCCACCTTCTCCTGGATGATGGAGGTATTTACCTCCTTTTCTTTTCGACGACCCTGTTTGACGCCCTTATTTTTCCTTCGCTTCGCTACCTTTTTCACCTGCTTTTCCGGTAATTCCTCAATCTGTATGTCTCTCACCTGTGACGTCATTTTGACCTCTGTTTCAGAGACGGCCCCTGGGTTTGACACAATGGCTGTGTTGGGGGCCATGTCAGCCACTTTGCCCAGAGGGGCAATAGGATTCCCCTCTGATAATGAGAGTTCCTCTAATTCTTTGTCAATATCCATATCGTCAATATCTTGGTTTTCTCCCTCAACAGGCTTGATGTCACCCAACTTTGGTGGTCCTGGCAGCAGAGCCTTGTGGATCCCCTCTGCTACCTCTGGGAAGAGGTGACCCTTGGATGGGGAACAGCCCATTTTTACGTCCAGATGTTGAAAAAATAATTTTCATTCAAGTTCTCAGTTTACAATGTGATTTCAATAAAGAGATACAGAACCAAATATTTAGCCTAGTAAGTGTGGATAGTCTTGCTCATCCATTGGTGCGTATGTCTGATTGCCTTTGAAAACATGTGTGTTCAGCCGGGTGCGCATCTTACTCAATAACAATTAAGCCTCTCAATCAATCTTCTTTACTGGGTTCTTGAATAGATGGATCATACCAAATGTCTGTCATTTTTACTTTCCTCTGGGTTTCGTGGATGTGCGGTCCGGCTGAGGTTTCTGGAAGATATGCAGTCCTCCCCACGAAACAGAGCTAGAGAGACTGAGGAGCTAAAAGGATCAAGTAGGATTGGAGGACTCTCTCCTTTAGCATGCACACAGATGGCAACATTAAGTGAATGATGCATGCACACACACACACACACGCACACACATGCAGATAAGACTTTAAGCTCATCAAGGTAATCTGGGTCCAGTTTGTCAGGTGTCTTTTTTAGCCTCTTCCACTGTATGTCTAGTGAATGTTTACAGGCAACAGGCAACAATGGAGTTGAGATACGTGTAAAATCAGAGACAGGAAGCTGCCCATGTTCCCTAGTTGCTTTTGTTTCCCAACTATCCAACTATTCTTGTTAACAGACACATAGCACGCTCTCCTCCTGGTGTCCTGTAAAGTTTCCCTTGTCTTATGTTTCTCTATGTACACACTTATGTTATTTACTCAATTTAAAAACTGATTGAATAGAACTGCTATAAAGTCATCTAAAAGTTCATTTTGATAATAAATCAAACCAATTGATTTAAACCAAGTGTCCACGCTGAATTGCAATACAAGTTTCATATTATTTTTTATTTAACCTTTATTTAAATAGGCAAGTAAGTTAAGAACAAATTCTTATTTACAATGACGGCCTACACCAGCCAAACCCGGGCCAATTGTGCGCCGCCCTATGGGACTCCCAATCACGTCCGGTTGTGATACAGCGTGGAATCTAACCAGGGGGTCTGTAGTGACACGTCAAGCACTGAGATGCAGTGCCTTAGACCACTGCACCACTCGGGAGCCTAAATGTAGTTGTCATTGATCAGCAGGCATCAGAAGTAATAAAATACAGGGATAATTTAGATGTTATGTTTATGATTTCACTAACACCTCTGTTAATCCTGTTTCTGAGCAAAGTGTCGTATGGGTGTGTGCTTTACGAGAATTGTAAAATCTCCATCGCTCCAAAGCTGAACATTTCCCAGTGAGGCATATTTTCTAACCTTGAATTCCTCTTCTGGTGCGTACCTGTCAAGTTTCCCAGACAGATACACATCATTGAGATTATGATACTCTACACAGACTGAAATTAATTAACCACAACAGGGATCTTTCTGCTAAATTAGACACACCGTATTTTCCCAGTGCACACCGTATTTTCTCTACTCATACCAAAGCATACATAAATATTTGTGGGCATACATCTGGGCTAAGATAGGAGTCCAGGGTAATCATGCGAAGTGCCCAGTCTGAGCCCATAGCCAACTGTCTCAACACAGTTAGTTTCCCACTGTAATCTCTGCCACACCCGGTCAGTCAGGTGTACACACAAATGTAGGCTACCAGGAAATCACCTTCCACTGGGCACAAGCTGCTTTAATCAACATTGTTTCAACGTACTTTGTCAACGTATTGTGACGTGGAATCTAGGTGGAAAATACATTAGATTTGAAAAAAGTTATCAACTGTTGTTTTGAGGTTGAAATTTCAACCACAGGATTATGTCATCATGGTAACCACATTTCAACATAAACAAACCTTGTATAAAATATGTTGAATTTGTACCTTTAAAAACACGTCAGATCTTCAACGTTATATCCACTATCAGAAAACAAACTATAGCCTAGACAGCACCTCCTACTGGAGAATGTATCTATCTCCAGCTACCCTTTGGTTTCCCATTAAGGTTTTTAACCGCCCACAACCCTGCTTAGCTATGATATTTGTCACTGACTATTACCAATGTGCTATCGTGAGAATGATTGTTGAGGGGTCTTCACTTAGAAACGAAATAGATTCACTGTTGCTATTGAAGTCATTCCAAAGGATAGGTTTAACAGAGCAAATGAAATGTAACCATACTTAATCACTCATATATCATCAATGATGCTATTTAGGCTTATATATCATTTACAAAGTCATCAACAGCTATTGTTCCAATTTAAACTAGAATTCAACTAAAATACAATACAATAGGCCTAGGGTTTCAAGATCTGGTTGATTTCAAAACTTATATTTAGGGATACCGAATTGTGTTTGGTTGTCAACGCAACCAAAAATCAAAGTTAAAGAATAGGACTAAATCAAATCAAACTTTATTTAAAGTGCATTTAAAGTTTGATTTGATTTAATCCTATTCTTTAACTTTGATTTTTGGTTGAGATAAGACGTGAATTCAACGTATAAATTATTAAATTAGACAAACTGGAATTAAAGTCAGACTAAATCAGTGGCACAGATGGAACTATCCAAGCAGAAGATACATTCTTCATTTACATTACATTTAAATGTAAATGTAAATGTAATTCTTCGAATGTTGATATTTGGTTCCGTTGAAAACCAAATACAATTAATTCAATATCACTTTTGAAATACAATAAATAGCCTGCTAGCTTGTCGACAAGTTAAACAATTATATGTTGGATGCACGTCTCCAACTCAACCAATTTAATTTTTTTAAATAATGGGATTAAGCCAGTGGCTGATATGGAACTATCCAAGCAGTACAGTGAGGGTGATATAGAAATTAAAATACATACAGGTTAAAAGTAATGACTAAATGTTCCACCCTTAAATATAGTTGTGAAATGTTCTTGTTTTAAGTATGGTTAGTACTTTCTTAGTAGTGATTAATTATTACACTCTGAAACTTTGTGAGTTGTGTTAGAATCTACTACCTGGTAATGTGTGAGTGTAGGACCAGTAAAGATTATGACATTGTGTTACTATTTAGCAATGTGAGTAGGAGTTAGACCGGACGGCGAAGAAGAAGGAGAACTGTTAAACATGGTGCAGAATATTGTGAGAACGGCGATAACTGAGGAATGCAGGGAGTAGACTATGATAAGAAAATGTATGTGTGTATATGTGTGTGTATGTATGTGTGTATATGTGTGTGTATGTATGTGTGTGTGTGTGTGAACTGATGGTCAGGAGAGCAGTTTTAAAGTGGAAAACTACAGCCTGCCTACAGAGGGGTGGGATTTTCGTATGACGTGTGCGTATAAAAATATTGTACGACCATTTTGTGGCAGAATTCTCAATGAATAAAGGCCTGACTATGCAGACCGGGACTCTGTCCGTTTCTTGATCCAAAAGCCTTACAACCTTTTGGGAGACGCACAGAGACACAGAAATAGTTAGTTAAATAATTATCATAATAGCTTGGTCCTTCTGAGCCGGAATCCAATACCTGCCCCTGTCATTCCAGGTAACTCTGAAAACCGTCGACGGGCGAATGATACATTGGTAAATAGAAAGACCTGCCCTTTGACATTAAGGGTTAAGACAGGCCAGAGGACACCTGATTAATGACAGAGACGGTGACGGAATCCAAACCTACAGTGAATCTCGGCTGCAAGGAAAAGGTTGGTAGTCTTTATTCATTAATTGGGGCAGTCTGGGATTGCTCAGGGTGGGTCCGTAACGATTCACGGTAATAGGCCAGTACCAAAAGAAACTACCCTGTATTCAGAGAACCTGTAGTAGATTACAGAACAGTAATGTTCAACAAATAATCCGGGAGAAAGAAATACAGTGAAAGAGTGAAGTGAAGAGAGGGAGAACCCATTTCTGTTGTATGAGACTGTCAGGAATTGTCAAGATTACATTTGAGGGGATAAATTCCTCTGTAACGGTATGAGATAATTCTGGGGGACTAGTCAAGACTACCTATACAGGGAGGGGTGATTCCAGGTGTTGTGTGAAACTGTTTTGAATTACTTGTTATATTGACTTGTTATATAGAAGAGGAGGCTATTTGGATGGTTAAGATCACCAGGAAAGGGAGAACCCATTCCTGTTGTATGAGACTGTCAGGAATTATCAAGATTACATTGTGGGGATAAATTCCTCCGTAGAGTATGAGATAATTCTGGGGGACTAGTCAAGACTACCTATACAGGAAGGGGTGATTCCAATTGTTGTGTGAAAGTGTTTTGAATAACTTGTTATATTAAAAAGGCGGCTAAGGGATTTTTAACAGTACCAGCCATGGGAGGCAAATCCTCACAAGAGGTCCAAGAATTTACTGGGGACGACAAAATATATGGAAATGCGAGACAAACGGAATGTGTATTATGGACCTATTTGGAGAAAGAAATATGGATTTATTGGGCGACTTGATGTATTTAAACTGGAATCCATGATTAAACAAATGCATGTAAATTGTGGTAATGATCTAAAGAAACAGAAAAGAGAGGGCTACATACAGCCAAGGTGTGGCCCCCTGAGTCTCGAAAGAGAGAGGAGGGTCTGAGAAGGAAAAAGTAAGTTATGCAGAAGGAAAAAGTAAGTAAGAATGGTCTAAGACAGAACCCACAGCTCCCCCTGTAGAACGGTTTGGATCCAGATTATACCCCTCTTTGGCAGATTAGGCCTGGAGGGAAAATCCAGACAATTAGGTAGTGGTGGTGAGGGGAAGGGTGCCACAGCAGGCTGCCGTTTTGGAGTTTCCACCCCCTTACCAGAACCAAGGGGAAGCTGAGGAAGCACAGAGGGGGGTTGAGGATAAGGCAAAGGAAGATAGTACAGTTGAGGTTCTAACGAAATGTTTGGAACAACAGCAGCAACCCAATTGGTCATTGCAGAAATTAGAAAGAGAGAGAGAGAGATGGAAAGAGAAGGCTAAGAAAGTAACTAGAGTACTAGGGTACAATAGGGGGGTCAAGGGACCGAAGGGTGGAAGACCCAGGTCCCTGAGGAGACTTGA